CAGCATCTTTTATGTAAAATATCTTACTTAGGACAGTACTAAATAAAAAAACACATTTTGTATGATCTCTCTTATTTTGTTAAAATTATTCACATTTTCACAGATTCTGCAAGGGGTTCCCAAACTTTCGCATGTCACTGTAATACTAAACTAAAATACTGAAATTAAAACAAAAATTAAGATTTAAAAAAATAAACTGTAATATATATGATTCTCATACTATCTGTCCTAAATAGTAGATGCGATTAGGATTAATGGATCCCAAATTATAGTGCACAGAAAATAATATGCTGTAAATATTGATTTGCAAAGTGCAAACTTACTTGCACTAAGAAATAGCATCACTTTATTCCGCTTTTTATTCAATTTTCAAAATCAATCTGAAATAATGTAAGATTTTGATTTGTGCATCCTAAATTATAATATATATAAAATATATTTTGATGTTGTATTAGTGTATATCCATGCATGTGTTGTGGGCTAATATTATCTACATCCCACTTGCAAACCCTGCAAAGTACATATTTGTACTAAATATTATGTGAATTGTGGTCTGCTGTACCATCTCTATAGTGCTTCCATTGTGATACTGACACGTGTCTCCAAGAAATATTGACAGAAGTCTGTGAATCTGTCTGCAGCACAGAGGAGCAGTTCTCATGTGTGTTTGATGATTCAATAAAATGTGATGCTAGCAATCTCAATGTAGTATCTCTGAGCAGGGTCAAGCTAAAGTAAGCTAGCCTTATTGCTAATTTTGTTCCAAGGAAAGGTGCTAATGCTCCGAACTGAATGCTATATGAGATTGAGTTGCTTGATTCGGCAAGATATCCAATAAGAGCCTTTATGCTCTGTAGTAGGATTCAATATGTCTGGCTGTGAGAGAAAAGTTATTGATACCATTTACTGACTTTTTTTGGATTGGTGTTATTTGAATGAAATTGTGAACCATTATTGGTGCATGTTATTCCAAAGAAAAAAATTGTTTTCTGAAAAGTATTTCCTTTTTTAGTTGAC